CCAGTGAAAGCACTCTTATGAGGGAAATTCATAGCAGTGAATACTCCTATTAGGTAGAGACCGAGACAAATTACACAACCTGATGCTGAACTTCAGGCTTCTAGAAAAAGAAGAGAAGGACAAACCCAAAGCTCATACAAGGGAGAAAATTATAAAGATCAGAGCAGAAATCAATATAATGGAGACTAAAGGAACAATACAAAAAAGCAATGAGGCCAAGAGTTTGTTGTTCAAAAGATTAAACAAAATTGGCAAACCCTTAGCCATCCTTATCAGAAAAAGGAAAGAAAAGGCCCAAATCCAGGCTATTAGGAATGAAAAGAATGAAATTATAATGAAATTATAACGGACCCTATTGATGATCGAGAGGATCATCAATACCTACTTGCATTACCTGTATGCCAATAAGATGGAAAACACAGAAGGAATGGACATATTCCTAGATACATATGAATTATCAAAGTTCAATGAAGAAGACCTAAAAATTCTAAGCAACCTAGTGCCAATCAATGAAATTGAAAACATAATTAAAAACATACCAACTAAGAAAAGCCCATGTCCTGAGGGCTTCACTGCCAAATTATACAAGACCTTTACAGGGGAACTAATGACACTACTGTTTAAATCCTTCAGTGAAATTGGAAGTGAATCAATACTCCTGAATTCATTCCAGGAAACAAGCATCACCTTGATCCCCAAAGCAAAGAAAGACCCAACCGAAAATGAGAACAATAGGCCAATCTCACTAATGAACGTAGATGTAAAAATCCTTACTAAGATACTGGCAAATAGAATGCAGAAAATCATCAAGAAGATCATACACCGTGGCCAAGTGGGATTCATCCCAGGGATGCAGGGATGGTTCAACACATGCAAATCAACCAATGTAATACACTATATCTATAGAGCCAAGGACAAAAACCATATAATCATCTCAATAGATGCAGAAAAAAACATTTGACAAAATCCAATATCCATTTATGATAAAACCCTACAAAAAATTGGAATTGCTGGTCTCTACCTCAATCTCATAAAAGCCATCTAAGAGAAACAAACAGCCAATATCATACTTACTGGTCAAAAACTGAAATCCTTCACAGTAAATTGAGGAACAAGACAAGGATGTCCACTATCACCACTCCTTTTCAATATAGTTTTGGAAACATTAGCCACAGCAATTTGACAAGAGAAAGAAATTAAAGTAATAAAGATGGGAAATGGAAAAGTCAAATTGTCATTATTTGCAGAAGACATGATTCTCTATATAGAAGACCCCAAGAACTCCACCAAAAGTCTTCTAGACTTAATAACCAAATTCAGTAAACTGGCTGGATACAAGGTCAACAAACAAAAATCAATAACTTTCCTCTATAAACTGAGAGAGAAATAGGGCAAACAATTCCTTTCACAATAACATTAAAAACATTGAACTACTTAGGAATCAACCTAACTAAAAAATCAAAGACCTCTTTTCTGAAAACTGTAGCACTCTGAAAAGAGAGATTGAATGTGACATCAGAAAATGGAAAGACATCCCTTGCTACTGGGTAGGAAGAATAAACATAGTGAAAATTGCATGCTTTCAAAACTGGTATATTGATACCATGCAATTCCAATTGAAATCCCAGCATCATGTTTCACTGACCTTGAACAAACAATCCAAAAATTTATTTGAAAGAAGAGAGCTAGAACAGCAAAAGCAAGTCTAGGCAAGAGAGACATGGCAGGGTATATCACAACCCCCAACTTGAAACAATACTACAAAGCTACTGTGATAAAAACAGCATGGTACTGGCAAAGACTCAGACCTGAGGACCAGTGGAACAGATTAGAAGATGCAGAAACAACTCCAGACACACTCGGGCACCTCCTCTTTGACAAAGGAGCCAAATACCAACACTGGAGGAAAGATAGCCTCTCTAATAAATGGTGCTGGGAAAATTGGATTTCAACTTGCCAAAGATTAAAACTAGACCTATATCTTTCACCATGCACTAAACTAAAATCAAAATGGATTAAATCTAAATATTCAAACAGAAATGCTGAGCCAGCTGGAAGAGTGGTTAGGAAGAACTCTTGAAGAAATTGGTGTAGGAAAAGATTTTTTGAACAAAACCTCAGTAGCCCGTGAACTAGGACAAGCCAGCAACAAGTGGGATCTCTTCTTACTGAAAAGCTTCTGCAAGGCAAGAGAAACCACCAACAGTATGAAGAGACAACCCACAATATGGGAAAAAATTTTCAACAGCTGTCCTTCAGACGAAGGTCTATTATCTAGAATCTATAAAGAACTTAAAAAATCATACCTCCCAAATTTAAAGACCCAATCTAAAAATGTACATCTGTAATGAACACACATTTCTCAGACAAACAAATAGAAATAGCAAATAATCATATGAAAAAATGTTCTATATCACTGGTCATTCGAGAGATGCAAATGAAAACAACGCTGAGATTCCACCTCACTCCAGAACGAATGGCTGCTATCATGAAATCAACCAAATAACAAATGCTGGCGGGGCTGTGGGGAAAGAGGAACCCTGCTCCACTGCTGGTGGGAGTGTAGACTGGTGCAACCACTGTGGAAATCAGTATGGAGATACCTCAAAGAACTAGGACTGGAAGTCCCATTTGATCCAGCTATTCCCCTGCTGGGTATCTTCCCCAAAGAATTAAAAGAATCATACCACAGTGATATATGTGCACCCATGTTCATAGCAGCACAGTTTGTAGTAGCTAAAACTTGGAAGCAACCCAATTGACCATCAACTGGAGACTGGATAAGAAAATGTGTTTTTTTTTATAAAATAGATTACTACTCAGCCATAAAAAATGAGAAATTAGAGACATTTATAGATAAATGGATGCACACTGAGACCAAACTCTTAAGTGAAATAAATAGGTCACACATGTAAATACCGAATAGTTTCTGTACTATGAGAAACTGAAAATGTAAATAAGAACTAAAAGGTATAATAGATAATGTGAAGTAGGAAGAAAATGGGCAAAGGGGAAATGGAACTGAGAGGGGTAGGAAAAGGAAATAAGGGAATAGAAAAAATATGAAAAAAGGAAAAGTGGAAACAAAGTCTTTGTAAATAGGGAGGGATCGCAGGGTTCAAGGGAGGGCAGGGGAATTGGAAAAAACTATGAACCAAAACAGATTATGTATTGGTGCAAATTTCCAATGATGAATGTCATTATATTGTATACCTAAAATGTACCAATAAAATTCATTAAAAAAAGTAAAATAGAAATATGTTTTGACCATAACATTAAATGAAGTAAATCAAACGCACAAGCTTAAACACTGCATGGTATATCTTATATAATTAACTCATTAGATAAATAAAGTGCAATATAAAAGACAGATAATAGGAAAAAAGAGAGTTAAAAATTTACTGTAACCCAGCATGGACAATGTGTCTAAAAATTTACCTTGATTAACTATAATTGTCATCTGTTTTATATGTATTTTGTCATATTAACCTTGTTATCTGTACGCATGATAATTAACTTTATAAAGACTTATAAGATAAATAAGTGAATCTGACATTAGCAGAAAGAAAAAAGAAGAGTTGAGAGGAAGGAGAAAATAATTGAGACATTTTATGTAAGCATACCAGTTCCTCACAATAAATGTAATTATTAAGTACTTTAAATATATAATAAAATTTTAGAAAAATAAAACAAAACTAGATTGTCAAGCATGCAGAATCTGAGGTGATGTGAATAGGAAAGTTTGTCTGCTGTAATAGCATTTTATGTTCCTCTGTTTTGTATTCTATGAAAGCATCTATCTTTTAATGTTCAGCCTCTGGTACTCACCCACTCTTGAATATTGACCCTTCTACCTGATAACACATTGCCATAATTGTATTTCTTGAAATTTTCATTATTTAGAAAGATCTAAGGGATCAAATTCAGGTTACTCCCCTGTGGCTGACTCTAGTTCATGATATTTTCTGTCCACAATCTCCCATTAGCATATTTCCTTTGAAGCATGAAGCTAACAATGAGCATGGAAGATTTGGCCCTTGCTCTACTAGTGGCCAACAGTCTACTATTTTCCTAGTTTTCTTTATCTTGGAAAGATCCTTTATGCCTGATTTGTAAGATGAAAATAAATTAAGCAAACAGAGATTCTAGGCTGTTTATAGTCACTTTGTATGGGTTAACAGAGGCTAAGCATCAAGCACTCTCCCAGCTCAGGATGAAGCCCTGAACTTCAAGATGCTCATTTGATTGTGACTGTTTCTCCATTCTTTTAATATCATGAAGTGTGCTTGGTTTCAGCTTCTACAGTAGAAATACAAGAAGGTAATGAGCAGCATCCAATACACATATAAGTCAACTGTTTCAAAGAAAAGATTAAAAGAAGTGTTAGGTTAATTTAAATGAAGCGAGGCCAAGCCTAATTTGCAAGCTTAAATTTCTAAACCATTTTTCACTTCCTGAAAACAGTATAGAAATCTGAATTTGATACATGTTTCTGCCTGAAGAATGAATTAAAAATCACTTTTAGACATTTGAACTATATATTTCATAGTAACAAAAGTAACTTACTGAAGGCAGCTGATCTTACCATTGCATTTACTAAGCATCTTCTTTACATGTTAGGAGCTGGGGAGCTGGGTGGAGGAAAGTGCCTCCTGTGACCTCTATCCCTTCATCCCTTTTGTGCACTTACCCTATGTGTTTTCACAGGCATACATATGTCTGCAGTCGTGTAGCCCGGGTGATGCCATCAAAGTCTGGGGTCCAGTTTGTCGAACATTTCTGCAGTGATGGTGACAAGCTTTGAAAAATAACTTGCTTGACAACTACATTTGTCTACCAAATTACCTTGGAACAGAAAATATTATCAATAGAGATGTTTCTACTCCAACTCTCCTGAAAGTCACTTCTGCACTCAGGACAAGGTTTAATAAGGAACCTGTGGATGGAAAGGAATATATTACTTATGTATTGTATCCCTTCTGTTCTGTTCTTTTCTACAGAGACTGAAGGAATTAAAGCAACGAGAGTTTGCTCGAAATGTAGCTTCCAAGTCATGGAAAGATGAGAAAAAACAAGAAAAAGCACTTAAAAGGCTTCATCAGCTGGCTGAGTTAAGGCAGCAATCTGAGTGGTAAGAGTTAGAGGAATTTGAGATGGTTCAGAAGTCTGTTCAGCTTGAAGGGAAATTTCCATGATAAAATAATAAATTTCAATTTACTATAGCCATGTAAAATTGTAATTAATCAACAGATAATGTCTGTGGGAAACTACTTCTAATAGTTAAATGTTTATAAATTAATCACTTTTGCCACTAATTTTTAAATTTTGCAATAATAATTTAAAAAACCATAACTAACAAAGCATTTTTTGGGAAATATGTCTTCTGTATATTCTCCTGTGTATGTTTGAGTCTAAAATAAATGACAGTATCACTGACTACAAACAACATGTAATTAATGCAGTTAAATTTCCCACACAGTGCCATTTAAATTGATAATTATAATATAACAAGCATTTCACTAATACATTCTTGTAGCTGAAAAATAGCAGTTTTACAAAAGCTTGGAACTACTCAGTGTTTCAAGTTGTTACCTGGAAAGCAATTAAATTTGCAGATTGTTATTTGTGTTCATATGAATCATAATGTATAACACTAACAGCTAATTAATGTGGTTGACAGCAACATAGTTAAATGTGAAATTTATAGATCTGTGCTAGAATTTAAATCCCTGTTGTTTAAGTGGAAAACAATGTACAACAACAGAAATGAACAGCTTAATTATATTACTACAGAATATTAGACTTCAAATGGTATTCTAAGGAAATATTTGGTTTTTAGGATCAATTAGAAGTGAAAATAGTATTAGTTTGAACATATTCATATTTGTAGAACTCAGAATAATTTAATTGACATCAATACACATAGTAATCATATTAAAAATGAAATAGAAATTTAGTTTAAAGAAAAACCAGAAGTTTAGTATGTATCCAAAGATGAGGTTAACACGAAAATGCATTCTCTGATCTTCCATAAAATTAAAGAGGAGGGAAACACATTAGGTACAGAGTTTATGTCAGCCAACACAACATCAAACATTTTGCCAATAAGTTATAGGCTAGTCCTTATTAAAACAAGACTTCAGGTGGGGGATTTAGCTCAGTGGTTCCACCACCTGCCCCGTTAGTGTTAGTGCAAGTACCCCAGTTCAATCCCCGTTAACAAAACAAAAAACAATACAAAAAAAAGAGACTTAGAAGGGCAAGTCATATATTTGTTAGGGTAGGACAGAGAAAAGAAAATCTAAGAAAGGTATCAATTCCTGCATGATTACTTATGAGATACAATAAATCAGACCATAATAAATGTGGCAATCCCCACCACTGAAAACATCCTTAAAACAGGTGCTCTTTAGGCCAGGCCAGAGTTGCCTGGCTCTGTATCAAGTCTGAATAGCCTTAACAAACACATTCTCTATTTCATTGTGGGAAAAGTAACAAAGGATGGCAGGAACCTCGATAATAGCATGGTGATGAGGACAGATGATAGCGTTAAATGGATGGTGTCAATGAGAATGATGTTTTTGTTTAAATTTCTAAGTTTACCAGAGCCACTCATTGAGAGGCCTCCATATTGTAAGATTCACTCCATTAAGTATTAGGTGTCCCTCTGGAGACTTTCTTTACTACGCAAAGCAAACCTAGCACACCTGGGTTTGTACTGTTTACAAAGAAGGTAGGCTTTGTAGATTGCAATGTATCCATAATGTCAGGAAAAAGACAAATGTTGAAACTTCTAGATACAGAACATAAAACTGGGATAATTATTTCTTCTTTCATAATACTTATCTTCCATTCTCTAGCCAACTGGTCTATCTTTTAAAACAATCCCATGACCTAAGGGAAGTTACACAACAAAATTATTAAATAATTTTATTTTGGCCACTGAATTATGAGAGGAAAGTTAAAAATGAAACAAAAAGGAAAAATATCATCAACATTACTTACTCTTTACTTCTTTGTCCTTTGTCCTCACAATCAGGGCTTCTGAGTAGTGTAATCTAGATAACAAGATTCTGCTATGACCCCGTGGAAAAGACAGGAGAATTTACTAACAGTAAGAATATTTGAATCAGACAGATGAACAAATGATAGCAGAAGTCTGGTAATGAAGTTTCTATTTGGGATAGAGTGGAATAGAGCTAGAAGGTAGGGGAAACATGCAGATGTTTGTCAATTCATACAAACTTTCCAATACAGTTCTTGGGATCTAATGTGGTATCCGGTGACTATAGTTGATAATACTCTATTATTTACTCAAAATTTACTAACATGGTGGTGTATATTAGTATCCTTACCCTTTCCCCACACACACATACGCACTGGTAAATATGTGTGATAATGAATATGTCAATTAACTTTATCACGGTAATAATTGCACAATGTACACATAAATCAAAACATCATGCCATACATCTAGAGTAAATATAACTTTTATTTGTCAATTATACCACAATAAAGCTGGAAAAATTAAAGCTTTAATAGTGTTATAGGGCCAAGGATTTAGCTCAGTGGCACCATGCCTGCCTAGCAAGCGATAGGTCCTGACTTCGATTTCCAGTACCCCCCCCAAAAATATATATGTATATAAATTATAATGCATAAACTTATATTGAAATATTAATAAACACAACAAGGATAGAAAATTGGGATTTTCCAAAACAAGAGAGAAAATCAGATTTGAGATAAGGGAAATTGAGGTTTACAAAGCAACAAGGTCAAAAGTTTAAAGAATGAAAATGAGATATAAAGAGTAACTATGAGAATAAAAATGCTAAACCATCTAAAAACCTATAATTACAACTGCAGAGTATGTTGAAAAATAAGAACAAAAAGCTAAGAGCAAAATATAATGTAAAATCAATAAGGGCAGAGAATTTTAAAATATTTAAAAGAATGTGAGAATAGAAGCTTGCACATTAGAGAGATAAATAGTAAAACAAAACAGCAAAAAAGGAGAGAACATTTAGATTAACCTAAATCAAAGAAGAATTTACAGAAAACAATGCCAGGAAATTAAGCAAAAACATTACTAAGGAAAATGTATATTTAAAATATAATATAAAAATACTATAATATTTGTATCATAAAGGAACTTGGAAGAGAAAAGCAATAGCATAGGTACATTAGATGTTTGGAATAATTTCTGCTGAGTGTAATTCTTAATAATAACAAATTGATGAAGGGTCACGGAACCGGTAACTTAATTTAGAGATATAGATCTTAATCCAATGTGTGGCCACAAATGTGGAATAGTATCTTTAACAACAGGCAAAGTTGAGGGTTGTAGCTATTTCTGAACTTCATTCTTTTATCCTCAGGCTGCAGACACTTTAAAAGGCCAGTTACTTAAAAGTACGTGTAAATACTGAATAGTTTCTCTGGTGTGAAAAACTAAATGTGTAAATAAGGATCAAAATGTATAACTGATATTGTGAAATAGGAAGAAAACATCTAAAGGGGTTGGAGAAGTGGGAAGGGTAAGGGAAAGGAAAGAAGGAAAAAGAAAAAAATGTGAGAAAAGGAATAAATGGAAACAAAGTCTTTATAAATAGGGAAGGGTGGAAGGGATGAAGGGAGGGGAGGGGAATGGGGAAAAAATAAGAACCAAGATGTATCATGTAAAGCTATAAGATCCTGATGATGAATGTAACTGTATTGTATACCTAAAATGTACCAATAAACTTAATGAAAAAAAATCCTAAAAGGCCAGTTACTACACTAAATCTCTATGCTCTTTATTTTTCTTTAGGTTTGAAAAAAATTCAATAACCCACACACTGTCTTAAAATATTTCTATCCATTTATCATACTAATAAAGGGAAATTATTGTGAGAAACAAGAAGATCATTCTTATTTTGAAACTACTATTAGGAACAGAATACAGTTTTAGAAAATTTATAAATTTGATTTTCCAAAAGATTCAAGGAAATGCTATAACCCTATATTAACAGCCATTAACTCATGCACGAAAGAGATATATGAAAGCATTGAAAACTAAAGCATGACTAAAATTATTGCTTCCAAATTTGAATCCATATGGACATAATAAACAACAGATTGAAATAATGTAAAAAAAGAAGTCAGTATAATCAAAATTGAATACAAGAGATTCTCCCTAAACTATAGCAAAAGGCTAAAGACAGTAAAGTTCTGTAATAAGTAGTGAAACCTCAAGCATATAGTTAGGAATGCCAGTAATTTTAGCATACATGCCCTAGTATGAGAAAGAAGAACAAGAATGAAGCAGTAATCAGAAAAATTAGAAAAGAAAATGTACTGTAGATGAATAAAGTTAAATTGAAAGTGCCTCAGAAGTAATACTAAAATTTAACCAAAAGAAATCAACTTCTAGCTGTGTTCTGTGCTCTGGTAAATATAAAATAAATAACATATGGGAAAAACATAATGTTTATATATGAAATATTAAAAATTTAGTTTTTATAAATAAAAAGAAAAATTATGCTGATATCATTTAAAAAATAAATAAAAGTAGGCTAATTATACATGCCTGAAATATTTCAAAATGAATAAATCAAAGTGTATGAAACTGGGTGCATAAACTAAACGCTACTGCAGAGTTCTATGCTAATTGGCCAAATAGTCATAAGTGAAACCAACAACAAATTTTTTAAAAAGGACACAAAGCACTTCTCTTCTTTGTAATTTAAACATTGTGTTGTGAATATATACAGTATACTGTTTTAATATTTTATATTCAAGAAACAAATGACTGAATAAAAATTAAAAATCTAAAATAGAAATAAAATAAATGTGTTTTCCAGCAAACAGTAAAAGACAAAAGGAAAGAAAGCAAAAAAATAGATAAATAACAGGATTTATTGCCTAACCTCAGTGAATACTTGCTTTGTAGTAGAAGGTTTATAGATAGAATTCTACAGGGACAAATAATTTTTAGCTAAAGTGTGTCATCTCCTATATATACAGCATTTGCTTTTCAGTTTCTCAATTACTAATGAAGCACAATTGAATGAATACTCTTTCAAGACCTTTAAAAACAAAACATACATGCACAAAAGGTAGGATTTTAGGTAGAATCAGAAGGAAAGATTTCAAAATCATTGTAAATGAGAAAGCTAGGAAGTATGCGTACTTCTTATGTATTAACTATAGTTAGTCAAACTAGTGACTAGTCATAGAGAAGGAACTTAGTATTTTGTTTCAAATGGAAATAAACGAGAGAATTCCAAAACTGAAAAACCAAAAAATTTAAAATGCTAGAATTTATACAGAAAAGCAAATTGAAGAATACTTTTGTACTTTAGAAGTAAATTTTATTTTAGTTCCTATTTAATGTGAATGCACTGATTGGAAAATTATGAAACAGTTTAAATCTGTACTCAATAATGGATAAGTTCCAGAGGACATACATTTTATGTACCTAATTATTTTCAGCACTAGCAAAATATATTCATTCACTTTTTTTTTTACTAATTTCTAAATAAAACATTTAACAGTGCTTTTTACAAATAGCCACACTAAAAGTCATACTAGCTTGTACACGCATGATAAAATAGTTGTATTACAGAAGACGTAATTAGTTCATAAATAGTTGAATAACTCATCATAGAAACAATATGAAATGCTCACATGTAGGTAAGGTTCAAAATCGAGTGTATTAATTATTTAAATGTTTATTGTGTTTACAGTGTTTCTGGGAATGGACCAGCATACAAAGCCCCCAGGATAGCCATAGAAAAGCAAATCCAGCAGGGAATTTTCACAGTTAAGAGTGGCAGAAAGGTATCCTGCATGAAGAGTGCTTTTCTCCTTAAGGGAAAGAATATCTCCAGAAGCACTTCTGACAAACAGCGTTTTACCATGCCGAGCAGACACCAGTTACCATCAGACAGGCGTTGTGTGTTTGGCAATCGAATACCACACACACCTTCTGACCTCAGTAATGCAAACCACAGGACTGGCATATCATTTTCATTCTCTAAAAAAGTGCATCTGAAGTTAGAATCTTCAGCACCAGCTTTCAGGGAGAACACAGAAGAAACCTATGATTGTAACAAGTCACCCACTTACAAAACAAAGCAAACTGTGGAGAAATGTGAGTGTTGCAGGATTGCCAAGGATGCACACCTCACTAAGGCAGAAGACCGAAATGTCTCACCAAGCCCTGTGGAGAGTGTTTTACACAATACCTTTACCAGGAGCTCTAATATTTTGCAAGACAAAAATAACTCCATTGACAAGACACTAGAAGATTCCATTGGAATTCAGGCTTCTTTCTCAAAATCTAACATTCACCTTTCAGATGAGGATTTTATTCCTTCCAGCAGAGAGAAAGAAACTAGAAATATATTGAAGAACTCTTCAGAAAATTGCATGAATCACCCATGCCAAGAAAGTGCTTCCTTCAGCCCAGCAAACATTTACAAGTGCAGGGATGCCAGGATATTTGAATGTGTAGATGATTTTTTGTTACCGGAGATGAATGAACAAAAAAATATAGTACATTTGAATGGCAATTCGAGTGTGGAGAAGAGAGGACAATCTTTAAATAAAAGTGAAAATATTAGCACAAATAGGCAAAGAGTTCTAAGAGAAGGATGTCCCCACGATGTGACGTCCAAGCCATTGCCTTTTCTTCATGTACAAAGCAAGGATGGCCATACCACTCTCCAGTGGCCTACAGAACTTCTGCTCTTCACAAAAACAGAGCCCTGTATCTCTTATGGCTGCAACCCATTGTATTTTGATTTCAAGCTTTCTCGAAACACAAGGGATGTCCATAATCCAGAGGATTTAGAAACAGAATTGGGCAAGGAAGCCTTGGAAATGAAAACAAAACTAGAAAGCCAAGTCTCAGGTTTAGTTAAAGACCAACAACAATTTATCCAAGAAGATAATCAATCGATCAAACCAAAGATGATCCTAGCTAATGAAGATTGGGAAAATTTCCAGAGAAAATGTAATTTGGGCTACAATGATTCAGATCCTAATAAAAGTGAACAAAATTTCAGTGCAAGTAATTTAGAATTGAAAAATCCTGAAGTGCCTGCGTACCTTGATGCATCTCTAAAGGACTGTGTAGGAGAGAACAATGACACTGATAATGAGTTTAAGGACCCTTCAAGATCCCATTGGCAAAGCTGTGGAGGAATAGTTCTAAATGATGAAAATGAGGGCCTATCCTTTCCTCCTTGCATCTCTAGGACCAAGAAGCATAAGCTGATTTCCTGCAACCCTCATTCAATGTTTGAAGAAGAAAACCAACTCACCTGGAATTCTAGTCCTTATGTATTTGGGAGCCACAGTGGCCAGGGGAAGGACTGCAGTATAATTTTGAATAGCAACAAAATCAACATGACCGCTAGTGTTTCTGGATGTGGAAACCAAAGCTACAAGGGATGTTTTGCCAAGTCATCTCAGAGGGGACATTCCAGCCCTTTGGACCAATCCTTGAGCAGTACGTCCAGCCTGAGAAACAATTGTTCACGTCATAAATCTAATAGTAGCAGCAATAGTGATTTGCTCTATTTTTGCAAAAGAGAACACAGATCAGTAGAAAGCCACAAATGGAAGCCCGGAAAGCACACCTGCCTCTATTTGTCCCATCAGATGACAAAGAACAATGGTCTGCAGTCTGAAATGCAGAGACACAGGAACTGCAAATTGTGGGAATCACTGAAGAATAAAACATACTTAAGACACAGACATTGCCACTGCCAAGAACGACATAAATTGGGTAAAAATCAACAATTTTCAGGGCTAAAATCCATGAGAATCATCCATTGTGATTCCTGCTCAGAGGTTTCCTGTGCTCGACACACTGAAAAATCACCTGATTTCCAGGGACCTCAGCACAGAAAATTGGGCTCTTATCCAAGACAGAGGATTTATTACTTAAATAAAAGCAAAAGAAGTCAAGAATCCTTGGGCGGCCATCATGTCTGTGACCGGAGGAAAGCTGAGCACAGGCAGTGTGACTCAGGGACTATCAGCTACCTTCTAAGGACCTCTTCCACAGAACCTCCAGAAACCACAGAGCCAAAAGTTTCAGGAGAGACGAGCCCCCTGACAGCCAAAAACCTTTTAGAAAGAGTACACGCAAAGAAGTGTCAAGAACAATCAACAAATTTGGTGGTCTTTTCATCCAGTTGTAAAAGTGAATCTGAGGCTTATTCACAAATCCCAGGCACAAGTCAACTCATACCACCAGTTTGTAACAGATCAACAATACTGTTACCTGAAGAAACACAACACACAAGTGGAAGAAAGCACGATAATAAAAGCAATGCAGTTCAAAGGTCTACTAAGAAAGACAAAATCAAAAGCTCACAGGCAAATCATTGTACTGCTTTAGCAGACACCAAACCTGATAACTGTCTTTCTAAAGATATAATTCATGTAGTAGCAGAGTCTCAGTCACTAAACAGAAAAAAGAACCCAAGAAAAAACCAACAATCAAAATCTTTAACTAGTGAAGTCCAGGCTTTTATTCAAAGCCATGACCCAGTACCAAATGATTTTCCTGGTGTTTTTCCATCTAATAGATATACTGGCATAACTGATTCAACAGAGACCAAAGAGGACCAAATAAATCTAGATGTACAGGATGTAAGGATGCATATGAATCATGCAGAGGGGAATATAAACACTTACTATGACAGAACTGTGCAGAAGCATGACAAAGTGGAAGATGAATTACAAATGTGTCATAAATCTCTCTCCCCCCCTTTAATTCAACAGCCCATAACATTTTCCCCGGATGAAATAGATAAATATAAGCTTCTGCAGCTACAGGCCCAGCAGCATATGCAGAAACAGGTCCTGTCAAAGCATCTTCGAGTGTTACCCGCTGTGGGACCCACTGCCTTCTCTCCAGCCTCAGCTGTACAGACGGTTCCTGTCCACCAGCACACGTCTGTCACCACCATCCACCACACTTTCCTGCAGCATTTTGCTGTGTCTGCTGCCATAAGTTCCCACAGTAGTCACCTCCCCTTTGCTCATCTCCATCCTCTTTCACAGTCACATTTTACTCCTATTTCATTTTCAACTCTGACTCCAACCATCGTCCCTGCACACCCCACTTTCTTAGCAGGCCATCCTCTGCATTTAGTCACTGCAGCCCCTTCTCCCCCATCTCACATAAAACTTCAGCCCCAGCCCCCAGTAGCATTTATCCCCACATTGTTTGGCCCTCACTTAAATCCAGCCACAACTTCTATCATTCAATTGAATCCTTTAATCCAACCAGTGTTCCAAGGTCAAGATCTTTTCCATCAGTCTTACTCCAGCCAGATGCAACAGTTACATGGAGTCAAAGAGGCCTTAAATGTGCCAACTCACTTGAACTAATATGTGTTAAAACTCCGCTTGTGGATAAATAAATTGTCACTACCTATGAAATGATATCTAATTATTACAAGGTTTAAAGAATGGGTGCCAATTCAAAATGCTACTAATATATAAATATAAACTATATTACCAATATTCAAACAGGAACGTTTTATTTTAACCAGTAAAAATAATAGGCAAATATAAAATAATTTTATGGAAGGGTAGAGGGGAAAGTGTTAAAGAATATTTTTGGACAAGTTCTCACACAATATTAAAAATGATAAAAGAAAAACATTCAGGCAGATCACTGATATTACAAAGAAAAATAAATAAAATGCCATGTTCTTGCTGTGTTCTGTGTGAATGAAAGAATGAATGTACATTTGATTTTATTGATCAGCTATTAATAAACGGTCAGTAAAATAAATCCATTGGTAAAGATAATTCCTATGGCTAACTGTTGGCTGAACTTTCAATGTAATATGTCACTATTTTCATAGGAAACAAGAGATGGCAAGAAATCTACTTTTATTTATTTAGTTTTTGGTACCAGGGATTGAACTCAGGACCTTGTGCTTGTGAGGCAGGCAGCAGAATCACTGAGTTAAATCCCCAGCTTGCAAGAAATCTACTTTTGAATGAAAGTCTTTTATGAAATATTGTTTAACTTCATTCCATATTAATTTATGTGTTATTATTTTATTATAAAAGTAACATCTAAAATTAAGAATGTTTGAATTTGCATTAGAAAATGTTTGAACTTGTTAGTGTTTGGCAATGACAATAACAAAGAAAATATACTCAGAATAACATCTTGAATATATTGACCTAAGTTTCAAATAGTCCAATTATCAAAACATTAAGTTTTCCTTATTCTTCTATTCAGAAACCTTACCGTGTTCAGCCAACATATGCATAAGCATAGAGGTTAAATGTTTGGAAATGTCAATATTTGTACATACTTATTGAGACAGTTTATAGAGCATTTGGTCTGTTTTATTTGTTGTACTGGATATTCATAAAACATAATGAATGATGCTGAATCAAATGACTATTCATGATTTCAAATATTCATTCAAAGTGTCTTCTGACCCATAAAAGTTGGACTTCTTATGTCTACACTTGTGAATAGCCATCCACTTAGGCTTATTGTTTTATATTCTGAAAATAAAAAATAGTAACTTGTGTGACTGCACCTTCCCCGTAAGTATGGGTTTCAATGAAAAGCAGACTACACGGAGAAGGGAGCGATCAGTCATTTAATGCTGCCTATGTTTGCCTCTAGAAGGTGCGAGGAACATTTCATCATCTTTGGCGTCAGAGAAGATAGCCATATTCACCAATGATAGGTTTATGTAGTCAGTCTAAGCTCTTGGATCACAGTACTCCACTTAAGGTTCACAAATGTATTTTGAGATCAATATAATCTTTCCCCATTTTAATGAGGACAATTAAATTTCAAGATAAAATGAATACTTAGTAAACAATAAAAAAGATATCTTTCATGTATACAGAGACAGATGAAAGAAAAATGAAAATAGAAAAATGAATTGGAAATATTAACATAGAAATAGTTTCCATAATAACCCTAGAAACAAGGAGATCGAGGATTTTGATGGAGATAGAGCAGAGACAAAGTCTAGCTCACTTGAATAGAAAGAAAATGAAAGAAAAATATCAAATAACAAGAAACCCTATTGTGTGGAGCTCCGTAAAAGTGATCATACAAGCCACTAATGAACATGGGACAAATCCACAAGGAAGTAAAACCAGTCAGATATTTATTATAAAAATACCTACAAATTGCCCAGAAGATAAAAATAATCTGAACAACTATTTACCAAAGCAGATCATAAAGCTGACCTACCGTCAAGATGGAGTAACCATGGGAATTCACTAGAAGTCCTATTATGGAAAAGACAGTGTATCTGATTATTTTTTATAATAGTCTTGGTGACCATTTACCCTCTCAGAAGGTTAAAGAGAGAACTATTTACTGGATATTTATATTTTATTTTTGTTTTTGAGACAAGATCTCACTGTGCAGCTCAGGCTGGCCTTGAACTCACTATATGGGCCAAGCTAGCCTTAAACTTGTAGCAATCCTCCTCCTGCCTCAGCCTCCCAAGTGCTGGGATTACAGGAATACACCCCCAAGCCTGGCTGGATATTTGGTTTTGACCAGAAAAGATATATTGATAGAAATTGATGGCTTAGCAAGGACTATTCCAGTTTATGCTAACATTGATGAAAGTGCTCACTAGAGGCTCTGTCTTGTACTGAGGGAAAGCAGATGTCATAATTTGAACAAAACATAACATGTACCCTGAGGTAAGAAATGATAACAGTTGGGACTTTATACAAGGAGGAAAGGTAGAATTAAAAATCTTATTTCTATCAAATCAGTTATTGAAGGAAGGGCCATGTGCCAATTTTATTTTTTAGTTTGCTTGAAGAGAAAAACACTCTTGAAAAAAATGAAAGAATTCCACAGATAGGTTGAATTCTAAAATAGATCAATTTAAAAATATTCATTGTGAAAGATTATATTTTCAGTATTATCTACTTCCAATTATTTGATGGCTGATTTGGGGCATTAAATTTCTTTTCCTATTGCCTGAAACCTATGGGATCATTCTCTTTATGAGATTACTCTGTCATATTTAGCTTATGGAGGTAAATGTCAAACTGTATATGCTCAATTAAACAATTTTTAAGTGAAGTCTGTACAATACACACACATGCAGCACACGCATAAGCACACACTCATCTATGCATTTTTCTTAGAGGTTAAGAACTAGTACACAGCAGAAAGCCTCTCTGGATCTTTAAATAACAAATTCTGTTTTAAATAACAAATTTTTTGTATGTAAGACTAAGAATTTAGGAAAGTTTGTCATCTTACTAATTCTATGTCAAATTCAGCAATAAAAATACAATTGGAGTTAAAAAATTGTGCTCCAAAATTCTCAAGTTCATCTTGGTAAATGTTATAAATATAGTAAAACACAGGAAATGGTTAAAATAAAAAGAGTGATTTAGAAAATTCTTAATTCCCAGGGCTTTTTTTGTAGGGAGACATTTCACACAGTGATTCTCCTGAATTTCTGTTTCACTTACAGAAAATGGATTTGACATTGATTCTTTTTCTTTAGTTGCAATCAGTACTTAAAGGAATCTTTCTATTATCACTGAATAGAAATATATTCAAAGAAACTAATCCTATAAGTCTTTCTCATTAGATGGAATATTTAGTGAAATTATTCAGGATCATGTTGCTGGATCTATTGCCTTACTTTATGAATTCTCATTTTCTTAAACAGTTCCCAATGATGGCAACAACACAGCTTCTGAATTTTATAATCACTGAAGCTTATCCATAAGCACTATGTATTTTAAGCATTCAGAACAATCATTGGAGATGCAGAGGTGGCTCTATCAATTAGAACATTACCTGGTATTCCAGTACTCTAGATGTGCATGAACAGAGCATTCAGATGCCTTCCCCAAGATGGGTGGACAATTAACACTATCCACACTGTGAAATAATATTGCTCATTACTTCATGGCACATTTCTCAATATTTCCTTTAGAAATCCCCATGAGTTTTCAGAAGGACTGTTAAATATTCTGAATAAAAACGAGTGAATATCAGATTGAGTTTTCTAAAAAAAACACAATGGAAAGGGGCCACATATCACAGACCATTGTACATAGTTAACATACTTCGGGGCAAAACTGAACTAGTGTTGTGTCTGGTGCAGTAGAAGCAGAGTTCATAAAGAAGTTTAATTTTGAGTCTTTATATTAGATGAGCTCCTGAAGATAAATATGCACTAATGGGCAAATAGAAACATTATTAAAACAAGTGGGTAACCAGTTACATTCAGAAGTCAGAAAAACACATGGTTGCCCTTTGTGTCTCAGTCTGAGATCACTTCAATAAGGTGAGAATTTTTCTATTAAAATATGAGCTTTCCTACCAGTAAGCCTGGGTTTAGAGGCTTTTCAAAGGTTTATCATTTAATTTCAGCAAAAATATTATCCATTTCTTCTACTAGGTAGACAGTTCAGGAGAGTTGCTGTATTTCTTGGAATTAAGCTATATTAAAATGGAAACAATGGCTGAATGGGTTAAGTTTAGAATAAGTTGATATTAGAGAAGTAAGCCAAGGGTCTTTTCATTCTATACAGCTTTGTAGAGGAGGGATACCTCCACTTTCAAATTCCTTTCTCGAAATCACCTCCTCATTTTGCAATCCACTACCATTTCCACAAGAGCAAGGATATTGTACCAGAAACAAAAAAGAAGTCAAGAAAAATGGAAAAATTAAAATACGTGTGTGTATGTAAGTGTGCATATGTGTGTTCTTAAAAAATATAATCTTCAGTCTTCAGTTGTAGATCTTGTACTGTGTTCAAAATAGTGACTTTTTAGCATTTTTCAGAATATATTCACATATTGAAACATCGCTTTCAGGAAGATTTTCTTATCCACCATGCAAAATTGTCAATTCCTTTAATATGTGAGACTATAAATAGTTGATAATGTATATTGGTTATGCAGCTACTGTCAGCAAACTTCCAACTTGTTCAATTCTATTTATAATATTTAATTTATAATTAGACTGAGTGATAGTCTGGCAATATGACACATCAACCGATAATTTTATTTTATATTTTCTGTTCAAAGCATTTTTTATCTTATACTGTGGCTAAGTCAATTGCACTATTGTTCATTCAAAGCAGCTTTTTTAGGTTCAATAAATTACTTGGACTGTAGTTCAATGCAATAATATTTTTTTAAAAAAGAGCTTAATGGTATAGAAGTATTAGTCATGTATTTATAACAGAAGCATACCAAAATATAAGAATAAAATCAAGTACAAATGGTGTGGACATATTCTGAATTTTACACTGCTGGATTAAAATGCATTTAACATTTTATTTATTACTGTATATATTTATAATATATATTTAAAACCTGGGATTTCTTAGACTATTTCTTAATATTTGAGTGTTATAAAACTGTTTCCTCAGACTTAAAATGAATATAACTTTAAAAATTCTACTGATGTATTCTTTGTTAAAACCTGATACCATATACATAAAGTACTATTTCCTCTATGTTTTCTTTTTAAAAATGTGATCTATACTTCAAAATACTCTGACAAAACTCTATCAAAAATTTCAATATTTATTCTCTAATAATACAATACAATAATTTTAATGTAAACTTTGAAAATGCTTTAATAAAAA